CTGGATTTTAAAACAGCCTTTGATCTGGTGTCTTATGATCTCCTCATGAAAAAATTGGCCAACTGTGGTCTCGGCTACATCCTAGTCCAATGCCTGGGGAATTGGCTCTGAGGTTGGACCTAGTGGATGATGGTCAATGGGAGTGAATCATCATCAGGGCAGGGAGCAGATACAGGCCGACCTGGACAGGTTAGATCAATTCGCAGAACGAAATAGGTTGAAATTCAACAAAGACAAATGCAAGGTACTCCACCTAGGAAGGAGGAATCCCCACCACACCTACAGGTTGGGGGATGACCTCCTCAACAGCTCAGAGTCTGAGAGAGATCTTGGAGTCATACTTGACTCCAAGATGAACATGAGCCGGCAGTGTAACAAGGCCATCAACAAATCCAATCGCACCTTGTCGTGTATTAACAGATGCATGGCCAACAGATCGAGAGAGATGCTGCTCCCCCTCTGTGCGGCATTAGTGAGGCCACAGTTGGAGCACTGTGTCCAGTTTTGGGCACCGCACTTCAAGAGGGACATGGAGAATCTGGAGAGGGTTCAGAGAAGGCCACTCACATGATTAGTGGTCTCCGCAAAAGACTCTACAAGGAGAAGTCGAGAGATCTGGATCTCTTCAGCTTTTACAAAAGACAGCTGAGGAGTAACCTTGCAGCCGCCTATCAGTTTATCAGGGGAGGACAGCAGGGAACTGGGGATGCACTTTTTACCAGAGCGCCCCAGGGACTAACTAGGATTCATGGGTGCAAACTAGTGGAAAGTAGATATAGGTTAGACATTAGGAAGAATTTTTTTACAGTAAGGGTGGCCAGAGTCTGGAATGGGCATCCAAGAGAGGCGGTACTATCACCTAACTTGGAGGTCTTCAAGAGGAGGCTTCACAGTCACCTGGCTGGGATCGTCTGACCTCGGTCAGGGGCAGGGGATCGGACACAATGATCCATTGGGTCCCTTCCAACTCTATAATCTATGAATCTGTGAATCATGGTGCCTGCACCAGTATTGTCCCCCAAGGCTCTCTCCTTGCACCGATAGTCTTCAACCTCTTTATTAAAGATGTAGACATTGGTGTCAGATGTGGACTGACCAAGTTTGCTGCTGACACCAAACTTTGGGGTACAGTGTCACACCTGAGGATAGGCTGCTGATCCAGGCCAACCTTGACAGGCTTAGAAAATGGGCGGACAAAAACCTGATGACATTCAATACAGGAAAATGCAAGGTACCAATGCAAAGTACTCCACGCTAGGAAAGAAACCCGCATCACACTTGTAAGGTTGACGGTGCTACGCTCGCTAGCACCATGGCTAAAAGGGAGTTGAGGTTCACGATTGACCATAAGATGAACATGAGCCACCAATGTGATGTCGCAGCTGGTAACGCAAACCAAACTGGCTTGCATCCATAGATGCTTCTCAAGCAAATCTCAGGATGTCATCTTTCCGCTATACCCGGCCTTGGTGAAGCCACAGCTGGAGTACTGCATCCAATGCTAGGCTCCTCAGTTGAAGAAGGATGTGGAAAAGCTTGAGAGAGTCCAGAGGAGAGCCACGCGCATGATCAGAGGGCAAGAGAACAGGCCTTATGATGAGAGGTGGAGAGCCATGGGACTCTTCAGCCTGGAAAAGCACAGGCTTGGGGTTACTTAGTGGGTGTCTAGCAGTACATCAGAGGTGTGCATCAGGATCTGGGGGAACGCCTGTTCACCAGAGCACCCCAAGAGATGACAAAGTCAAACAGTCACAAACTCCTCCAAGACCATTTTAGGCCGGACCCAGGGAAAAACTTCTTTACTGCCCAAGCCCCCAAGGCCTAAAATAGACTGCCTCCAGAGGTGCTGCAATTACCTGCTCTGGAATCTTTTAAGAAACTTTTGGATGGCTATCTTGCTGGGATCCTTTGACCCTAGCTGGCTTCCTGCCCCTGGGCAAAGGGCTGGACTCGATGATCTTCCAAGGTCTCTTCCAGCCCTAATAGCTATGAAATCTATGAAATGTCTATGAAATCCTATAGCTATGAAATCTATCCAAAGGTCCTGGTGCCAGGTAAGTGCCAGGTTAGCGTCATATTCCACTTCATGGGAAGGAGGAACATCCTCTTTCCCATTTCGACCTTATCTGAAAGTCAAAGTGGGACAAGATAAAGGCCACCCCAGTGAAGCTGCATCTGGTTCAGTACCTGAGCTGTACACAAATATTCTAGTGTCATGTGAACGTAGTGTGTGTAACAGGAGGAGGAACCAGGAGCAGTCTGCAGTGCTGGGTTGACTTCATTTACATTGTAACTCCCAGAAGGGCCTGGAGGCAAGATAAGAAGGAAGAGGAAGCTTGAGGCTGGAGTAAGGGGGAAAGGGAGCGGCATGCACATGGAGGCTGCCCAGCCCTATACAGAGGAGCGCAGAGTGGAGCTGGAGATCTCGCTGCCTCAGTCAGCCAGGACTGTGCACTGAAGAAACTGTGCTCAGACGTGGGGGCAGCTGCAGGCTGCTGTTTGAGTGCTCTAGGGATTAAAGGGTGGTTTAGGGGATATAGGTTGTAGCTGCGTTAAAGGCAAAAGCAGTCAGAAATCTTGTGGTAGAGGCAATATCTTTTATTGGACCAGCTAGACAGTTGAAAAAGAAAAAAAAAAAAAAAATCTTCAGCTACCAGCCAAACAGTTGCAAAAACAAAAACAAACAAAAAAAAATCTTTAGTTGCAAGCTTTTGGGCTCACGTGCCCTTCCTCCAGCAAGGGAGAATACAAAGGTTGTAAAATTTCTCATTTTATAAAGGGTGATTAGGGGACACTTACGGAGGTGTCGGGGGTTGCTTTTTGGGCTAGTTTCTAGGGATGCAGGTTGGCAACTAACTTTTTGTGATCTGTAAGAACCTGTACTTTGTATCATGGCTCTTGCCACCACATCCCAAAAGCCATTCTCATGCCCATGAGTTCACAGGACAGATCAAGAGTTCTTTTGTTCTGGGGTGAGATTAAGAAAAAAGAAGATGCAGGGATCCAGGATATGGTCTGGGCCTTGCTTTTGGGAGAGGCCCAAACCTATTACAGTGCTGAATGCATCCAATTCTACCACAAGTGATACGGGGTCTGGACGGGCTAGCACAGGGGCAGAGGTGAAGGCTGTGGAGAAATCACCCCCCCACTCTGCCCCACTGCTGGAAGCAGGCAGCCCCTCCCCGCATCTGCTTCCTTTACCACTGAGCTGACCTGGCCTGGAGACGATCCTGAGGAAGAGGGGAGCTCGCTCTCCCATGTCCCGTGTAACCCTAAACCCTCACTTGAGGTTGACGTTTTTCAAACTGACCGACTCGCATCAGCCGTGGTCTGAGGATACTGGTTTGTGGTGGGACCATCTTCCAACAAAAAATCCTTTTTCAAGTATATTGGGAGCAAGAAGAGGACACCAGGCAATGTAGGGCCCCTGCAAGACGCAAACGGTAATCTGGTAGCTACACCAAACAAGAAAGCTGATATTTTTAAGAGTTCCTTTGCCTGTTTTCTTGAACAGGGACCGAGACATCCCACCTACCAGAGGTAGGGGCAATCTCGGCCATTGCTCTGTCAGGCCTTCAGTCAGCGCAGATGTAGTTCGGGATCTTCTGGAAGGGCTGGACATTTTTAAATCTGCAGGTCCACATGCCCTCCACCCAAGGGTGTTGAGGGAGCTGGCAGGGGTCCTCGCGGAGCCCTTGGCCCAGCTGCCTGAGGAATCATGGACATCTGGCCAGGTGCTAGGGGATTGGAAACTGGCTAATGTGGTCCCAATTTTCAAGAAGGGGAGGAAGGAGAACCCAAGTTAACTATAGGCCTGTAAGCCTCACCTCAGGGCTCAGGCAGATCTTGGAGAGAATCATCAAGGAGCACATCTGTGGGGGGCCAGGAGGAGAGATCATGCTCAGGAGCAATCAGCATGGGTTCGTCAAGGGCAGGTCCTGCCTGACCAACCCACCGCGACCATCTACGGTGTAAGTAAACAATCTTAAACAACCATTAAGCATCCGTGCCTAATTCTAGCGTGCCGCCTGCCTTCCCCGACCTGGCGTGTCCGGGCTGCTGGCCACAGCCCGCCGCGCGGAAAAAGGGGACTCGGATTGCTCCCGGCCTGCACAGTCATCAGCGACTTGGACGAGGGGGTGGAAAGCACGTTGTCTATATTTCCTGATGACACTAAGATGTGGGGCGAGATGGACACTCTGGAAGGGAGGGAGAGGCCTCAACTAGATTTGGACAGACTACAAAAGTGGGCAGATGAGAATAGGATGAGGTTCAACGTAGACAAATGCAGGGTGCTGCACCTGGGGAGAAGGAATCCACAGCACACATACAGGCTGGGGAGTTCCCCTCTTGAAAGCACAGAGGCGGAAAGGGATCTTGGAGTCATTATTGGCTCCAAGATGAACATGAGCTGTCAATGCCAGACCGCAAGCAGCAAGGCCAGCGATACCTTGTCATGCATCCAAAGGTGCATCTCAAGCTGGTCCAGAGAGGTGAT